AGAGATTACAAGAATTCAGTATAAAACAATGAAATGCAAGCAAAGCCTTTTTATTACTGTTTACATCTTTGTGTAATTATGGAAGCACACATTCTATAAAATTTTAATTTTCTCATCTGTCTTTATAAACATCACTAACCATCACCACTAATTAGTAAGGTGGTGTAAAGAGTATTTTTGGTGTTTACTTCCACTTTGCTTAAGTTTTAGGAGCTGCAAGATAAAAAAACAAATGTGTACAAAGTGGTAGCATTGGTGAAAGAGTGAATAAATGTGTTTTTTTGCTCTTTCTTTAGGTTTACTAATACTTCTGTCAGAAAAGAAGTTCAAAGCAGTCTCCAGTCTTATTCCAGAGTTTTAACCGGAATTCAATCCTTGGTTCAATATCATCAGATAAGTGACAATTCTTGTTTTGCTGATGTCACAGAGTTGTGAAAGCCGAGATCCAGGACTAAATACTTCAGTGAACTTACAAAGTATGGTAATTTTTAAAGTACTATTTTCTTTTTTCCTGAGCAAACAGTATTATTTCTAGGAATAGAGTCATATAGTTTTTGTTCTGTCTTAAGAATGTGGTCTTAATACTTATGTAGAAGGAGCAATCTCAAATCCGAGACACTACAATGCTTTCTCAATTCTTTCAAGCAATATGGCAGTATAAGAATATAAGATTTATCACTAATATTTGGTGAGATAGCCCCCATTTATAGTCCAAATACAAGTCAATAACCAAATAGCAGAGAAATTAATTAAAAAAAAAACTGTATTGTAATTAAAGAAAATGTTAAGGGATTGGCCAAAACGACACAATTCTTAAATGTTGAAGAAAAAGAAAGTTCTACCTATAGATTGCAGCTTTATAAATATCTCTTCTTACCTCAATTTGGAAGCATATCTATGTTTATACTTAATTTCCTAAGAACTTAAGTTCAAATTTGAATTTCTTAGAATTTTGGATGGTCTCCAAAACTAGAAAAACTAGTTTTGGATACTATTTTCCAACCCGGACAAACTCCAGTTTCCAATGCTGGATCTATTTATAAAGTAAATTATTTTGGTTAGTTAAATCTTTTTTCTCCTTAGTCACCCTAAGTTTGTTTCTTCAGAAGAATGCCATCAATATCAAGGTGGAGTTTGCCAGAACAACTTCTGTGGTCCCTTCCTTAGCTAGCGAGAATCATCTGCATTTAACATAAAAATCCACCAATACTACAACCATATTAGTATCTCATAAAAAGGCTTGCCACTCTATCTTCCACAATTCTCAGAAGGTATTATCCTTGTTTTTTAATCAACTCTATAGAAAATACAAAAGTTGACTCCTAGACATTTTTAGCAGTCTCAAGTTTAAGAAATGCTACCTTAAAACTCAATCAGCTAAAGTCTTATAGGCAGAACAAAGATAGTTAAGAAATGGAAACAATGGAGTGTCACTTTTTTTTAGGTGTGTGAATATCTATACATCACACAACTGTTCCAAGTCTCAATTTCTTCAGTCATATGTAAGAACAGTAGTAGTATCTTTTATAGGGAAGTTATGAAAATTATCTGAACTATTTTACTTAAAACTCTGGAACACACATAAACATACATTCTAAGTGAAACAAATATTTATCAAGTGATTGTCAATACCTTTAGCTTCAAGATTACAAATAATCTCTGTAATACTATAGTACTTATATGCTGGTTTCCAACTTCAGGTACTACAAGAAGAGGTTTTTAAACTTAACAGCAATAGCAAACCAAAACCTTGCCCAAACATTTCTACATGTTTTGAATACACAGATGCCTTTAACATGCACTACCCAAAGCTAAATTTATAAAAGAAATTATCTCCTGTTATTGACATAACTGTAAAGTAGCAACAGACAAATTAAAATTACAACATACTTTCATTATTACTTTTAAAAAGTCACTGTCAAAGAAAAGAGATTATGCATGCATGAATATGTACAAAAACGTTAAGGCTTTATAAAGAAACTTCCTATTCTCTAGAGAAGTCAGGCTCTGACAACTGCAATATTGAAACTGTTACTAAGAGGCTTTCCTGAGATTAGAACTAAGTGGGGATTAGAAAATGTATCTACAGGGAGTTATAATTTATAAAAGAGCAGGTGCTGAAAACTCTCAACACCTTGTTACAATGTAAGAACTAAGTGCGTATTTTAAAACTATCATCACTTTCTGTATGTAATAAGTTTATAATGTATAATGTACTTTCCATATGTACTCACATCTGTTCCACCCAACAACCCTATAAATAAGGTAGGAAAATAATTTCTTGCATATTAAGAAGTTAAGGTTCTGAAAATAATGTGGTATGTCCAAAACAGTTAGGAAGCGAAAAATCAAGAATTTAAACTGAGGCCATATCACTAGTATTTCGGTGTTCTTTCCATTACCCCATTAAGCTACTTCTTGAAGAAGCAAAATAGCACCTTTACAAAAAAAAATCTTTAGGCCAAAATTAATAGTGTCAACATCAGTAAATCATTTCACCTTATCAGGCCTTTACTTTCTCATCTGTAAAAGAGAAACAGATTGGAAAATGAGGTCCCTTTTGGTTCTAAGGACAAATCCCTTAAACTATACTCCCTTTACAGAGTGTAAGAGCTTTACAAATACACACTGACATTAGTAACAAGTTTCAGGTCAGAGGGTAGTCATCAATCGTTCTTACTGGAAAAATTTCAAATGCCTAGCAGATGTTGCTTCAGTATCATCATACACACAGCGAGAAATCAATCTAAACTTATGTTCCATGATCAAAATAATTAATCTCATTAGTCGTTCCCAGCCTGCAATAATGTTTTTAAACATAAAGATTTAAAGAAAATTTAACTACTAGTCAATTAATACCAAGAAATTGGGTATTTTTACTCTATAGACTGAACCTCATTTACAACAAAGTATTCCAAATATCTCACTGACTACTATTTCCCCAATTTACCTCAGAATAAAATCACATTTTTCAAAAATTTCTACAAAAAGAAAAAAAGTAACACATTAGTATCTTGAGGAAAACGTCTTTTAAATTCATTCCATTGATAGGGGCACTCTTGCCAAACAAAATCAAAACTTTTCCCCTTCTTGTTTAAAGAACTAAAACTAGAGACTGTGCACAACACATTTGAGTCTAATAAATTCTTTCCTCATCTAAATATTTTTGTTCTACTCTTCCAACTACTCTATATGAAATACACATTCAGAGGCTTCTACTTGTCCAGTTCTGCTTGTTAATAAAACTATCCTGATACGAAAATTTAACAGATTAAGAACATTAAAGGCACCTTCCTTTTTCACTCATCTACAAACTCCACTTACCACTTTGTCTTATTGCACTTTAATACCGTGTCTGTCTCTAAAACAGAATACATATCTTGAGTAGTTGAGCATGATCTTAGTCACGCCATCTGCAAATCTTTAGAAATTTAGCTAGTGCCTTGTCAACTAGAAAAGATCTTTAAATAGTAAAACCTTTCTCAAATCCCTCCTAGTCTACAATCTCATAGGGAAACATTTTGAGTCTTTAAATGATTTTGCATTTAGACCAAATTAAAGACTCCCCCACCCCCACAACAAGCTTAGTTAATAGAATGATTTGATCTTATACAGTCGACACTATCTAATTTTGTTTTTAAGCCACTTGGCACCAGTAGAGCATATGTTCTGCCAGTTCTGAGCTAATCTCCAGGAAAGCCTTTGTATAATGACTGAAGAAACTGAAACAGGCCAGTGCCGAAGACATTTAAACAGCTTACTTGAGCATATGTTTTTAATAAAGTCAATTTATTATAAAATAGTTATTTTACTAGTTCGCCTTCTTTTATAAATTACATAACAACCCCCCCCCAAAAAAAGGAAAAAAACATGATGAGAACATACATTCATTTCGACTTCAGGATTAGCGATAATTCGAAAGCGTTACAGATCATTGGATCTGCAACCCATTTCACCCGCGGGTGTCCGGTGGAAATTACAATCTCCACGACTACACAGTTTAAAAGGTTTTCTACGGTTTCAACTGGTGCAATAAAATGAACTTCCCATCCTAAACTGTTTCTTACTGTTATTATTAAAACAGCTGTCAGCTGGAATACCGTAACCTCTTTGTACAACCGTTTATTCAACGCTTTGGGATCCTCGAGGATGCTTCACACCATATTACCCCTCAAAATGAGATCTAAGAACCTGACGCGCTCCAAGGGTCTACCACCATCATTCGAATGGCACAAGCAGAACGGTGAAGAGAAGCGACTGCCCAATGCGACAACGATAGATTACACTGGCTTTTAAGACAGAACGGCGGCGCAGCCACGCTCCTCTCCCGAGACGATTAAAGCAGCCTATTCCGTCTCCCTCTATCCACCTTGCTCCCGGACCCGGGTACCTCCGCGGTTCGCTCCCGGGGAGCCGCGACGGTCTCCCGCGGCGGCGCTCGCACCGAGCCTCGCGGCGGGAGCGC